TTAAGCAAAACATAAGCAACATATAAGCAATGTTCACTGCTATTTATATACTACTTGTTTAAAGTTTAAAGCAATACTACAATAAAAAAAAAAGGTTAATTAATGTTCAAAGTCTAAAGCATGACACTGATAAGAAAGCAAATTAATCGGAAACTCGATTTCTAATCCACCAAACAGATAATTATAAATACAACTAATATAGAAGTCTATTTGGCTTCAAATTTTCAATGTGGTAGGGAACATGAAATACAGAAACAACTTCCATTTCCACTCTTCTCCCTAAACCTGCTTGACTGCCTTTATCACATCCAACAAGCCTGCAATCACACTCACATTTGTATTCTGCCCATCCAGTCCGATGTGTCCAAGATTACAAAACGAATTTTGTCTCTAAGAGCTATTTCTTCAAAAGAAAATCAGGAAAAGAACTATATTAATATGCACTGCTTCACTTTCATTTGATCAAGATACATAAATAGGTCATTACCGTCGATAATTGTTATACAACGATGGATGATCGTCACACGCCGGAATGCAATGCAAGATATTGCATTTACTAACTGAGAATAGCAACAACCAAATAAAATTGGATAAATATCAAAGGGAACATGAGATAGCAACTTCATTTACAGTTTTTCATTTTGCACTAACAAAATTGGATTTTAGTCTAGTCTCTTATACTATATCAGCTCTAGTCTCTTATTTTTGGATAATTAAAAAAATTTCCATTATAATTATACTTAATAAACTGAGATATCGCCTAGTGTATGGGTTCTGTGCCGAAGAGTTGTGGTTTCATGAAGTTAAGGGGAATATGAGATTTAAGGTATTGAGGTCTTCATGTTCGTTTTTGTTCTTTTCTTCTTCAATGACTCTTTTCCAATGATCTGAGCTTTATTGCTTCTGTCGGTGGACTACATTTCAAAATCTGTTTTTTTTTTTTTTGATGAAAATTTAACTTTACAGAAAACTAGATTTTAACCCGCGGAAGATATTTTAAAGTATATTTTTATTAGTTTTGTTTAGTATATAAAATTGTACTATTATATTTTGATTATTATTTCTGGCTTAACCCGTGGAATATTGCATGAAAATTTATTTTTATATAATTGTAATTTGATCAATTTAATTAAATAAATATAATATTCAAAATAATGAAATAATATTGTTATAACATCTTTCGTTTAAATAGTCTAGTTTAGATTAAATTAATTTGTAAGTTTTATTATAGTAGACAGTAAAGCATCTAGAATCATAATTATGTAAATTATAACATGTGTTATACAATTATCAATAATACCTTAATATAGACATTAATTATAATCCGCTCCATCACATGACCCGTGCTACTTAATTATCAATAATACTATAGACCATAATTTTTTTTTTGTATCGATTAAGTAATATACGTACGTTTTCAAAAATTCAGATTATATGCAAAAAAATATATTTTTTTATACAAATTTTTTATATAATAATATAAATTTTAAAGCAAATAAGATGAGATTATAGAAAATTCTGTTGAATGTAATAATGTGATAAATACTAATATCCAGTTTTGCAATTTTATTATAATTTAATTACAAAATCTACCTTAAAGTTTTGTTATTTATTCAAATTGCAAGGATTTATGATTGCAAATAATACAAAATAAAAAAGTTACTTTCCAAAAAGTATTTTAAAAATGTTAATATAAGTAACGAGTATGAATAGTAACTGTGCGGGGCAAGCAATTTGATAGTTTAGTACAGTTTAATTGCATTACTTGAAGGGTAAATATATTTGTAGAACAAATGTGATTAAAGTTTTTTTTTTTATTTGTGAATAGTGTTCTTTAATTTGCATGGTTTTTGAAGACCGAAAAAACTACTCTACTCTTCCATTCACTACCAATGAGTTCGTTTGAAAACACATCTTTAAATGTTACTAGTACCATTCATGTGAAAAACTTATTTAGGTTTACACAATAACTAAGTATTGAAATACCACATGTGCATGGAATCACAAAACTAAACTAGTGTGTCTCAAAAGGATACTAAAGCCAATAAGGTAATGAAGTTAACTAGAAAAATCGTTTAGTTTTGTGAATGAAAATGACACTTAATCCCTTAAATAAAAAATAATAATATGAAATGACACTTATGAATTATGAACAAGAACAAAACTAACTTATCTTAAAAATCAAGTTCAGATTTTCACATACATATAATTAACTTTGAAATTTTGTCTAATCAGAAATTTCTAGGAAACTTTTTTTTTTTTTTTGGTATTATATCAATGAATGTATGATAAATGATGTGTCGTGATGCAAACAAATATGAATTACAGTATATTGGAAAATAAAATATGACTAATATGCTCTGTTCTACTTATTTCCTTTTCATGTTTTTTGGGTAGTATATGATATGAGCATGGGCAATGGTTGATTAAAGTCTTGCATGTGTTATGTCTGAATGCGCCATTCACCGTGTGGTCCGGATCGGACCCAGTTTTGTTAGGTTAATGTCTTTTACTATGAACATCTACTAACGTTATACAAGTATACGTTTATATGTGTCTATATATACATACATTTCTGTTTTTGTGTAAATATATTACGATATAATTATTTACTAATTGTAAAATAAATTAGATGTCAAATAAAAAATTGTGAAATATATTATTATCATAATAATTATGCAAAATAAATTTAATTTATTACTATTTTTACTTTATTTTGAAATTTTGTAATACATGAATAGGGCCATAGCCCATAGGGATTTGTTGATATTATCAACGATAAGCTCGAATAAAAAACTCCTGGTACCGGACTTAGAGCACCAAGATCCACAATACAAAATTCATAGTAGTTATTTACTTATTTGTAAGCAAAAGGTTATGAAAACCAATAGTCCAAGAAATGGTGACATGCCAAATTCGATTCGGCAAAAAATCATTATTCGGACCGAAACTTATGACCAACCAATAGTTCTGTACCGAAGGACATGACAACTTTGAGTTCGGGTCTTTGGCCAAAAGTACATCAACCGATTCAACACATCATATTTTACTTAGGGTGATCCAAAAGCTTTATAACTCCAATACTAATCCCTGAAACCCTTGGAAACCGGTTTAAATTTATCGAATCACCGTGGCCAATGCTACTCGAAACCAAGTGGCAGAAATTATTTCTCTTTACCACTAGATGATAGTTGGTCTTCTAACTTTACACCTAGGAACATCTACCAACTTCACAAAAAATATAATTTCTAGACCCTATTCAAGAATTTCTAGACCCTATATATGTATCTTCTTCCCTATGTGGAATTCTATGTCCATGGGTAAAATTCACTCCACACTTGGTTATGGCCCTATGTTAGCCCTACAAGTGCTATTATATTTTTGGAAATCTAATGTTTAAATTAAAATCTCCAAACCTAACCCTAACTTAGTGACCATATGTGGAATGAATTGGTAATCTAATACATGGTTTAAATAAATATAATTTCTTACAAAATATGATTATCGAATATAAATTACCCATTTAGTGTTTGATACATATATATTATATCGTCTTTCTAATATGTTATAAAAAACTATACTAATAGAGAAGAATAAAAAAACCAACAACGATCAATAAACCTATTTTGGTTCAATCTTAACACGAACAAACTTTGGCTTCTGTACGATCTCACTATTTGCACCAATATTTGCATCTTCGTTACATATGTAACTCTTGACATCCCCAAGACCTTGTTTTAATTTTCATATGAAATCTCATTAGCCATCTCAGCCTTGACAAGTAATGACAATACTTAACTGCCAAACCATCAACAGTAACAAATTCCAAGCATAACCGTTTGGTTATTGTAACACCCACAATTAGAAGAAAAAGAAGAATAAAATTTTCGGTTAAATAGATCAATTTGAAAAGATTTGAAACTTTATGAATTTTGGAGATTTTGTTATGGAGTAAAGTCCCACATCGGTACTTGGATAGTATATCAAGTAATATATATATATATGGTTAAGATCAATATACTCATTGCCAATTGGTCTCCGATTTCAGACCTATTCCTGAAAGAAACCAAACAGAGACATTTCCTCAAGGAGTCAGACTATACCACAACAAACTGAAAGGTTCTACACCCTGGAAAAGTTTGTCATACCTTTCACTCTACATTTTTAAACACCCAACAAAGGATTTTAACATGTAAAATTGTTAACTATGTAATTGGTGACAAGCAAGCGCCACAAATGTCATCGCTCTTAAGGTTTTGGAGATATCCTAACTTCTAAGTTTATCAAAGAAAATGACAGGGTTGCTCTCAATGTCTGTATCCTCAGTGAACAGCCGCAGAATTTAATTGAATACTACTTAACGAAACACTAAAAGAATCACAGAGTATATAACAAGAAAA